AGAGTGGCACAACCAGTTATTAGGTGTAGAGGGGCAATTACTTTTTCACATAGGTAATATAGGTTTTGAAAAAATCTTTAACTTCAACAAAATGAATGATCATTTAAAAGCTGCATTTTGTGTGTCTTCTATTTTTTATTAAAATTAGTTGGATGATCTGAAACATTTAAATGTAACAAATTAGCAAAAATAGAAGAAATCAGATGAGGGGCAAATACTTCTTCACAGCACTGTAACAACCCCGGGTTCCTACCACCACCACTGTAACGGAATCCAGTGTGACTGAGTTTCTCTACAATTAACCATTTCATATGAAACAACTCTGAATGACTATGTTAATGTTTCAACCTCTGAATTATGGAGAAAATTTGAAAAATCAGTGGAATTCCACTTTAAGAGTGTAGGACAAAATGATCAGAGGTTTCCACAGATGTGAGTAGTCAAATGCCTTTTAAAATGATTTACAAAGCCATAGACAACAGCATGTCCAGCACACACCAACAGCACAAGGTTATACCAAGCCTACCAAGAGCCGTGCAACCTCATCCAACCCTAAAAACAGACATCATGTTCGCCATCACAGACATAAACAGCAGTGCAGCACAAAAACACTATTGACAACATGGCCCCACAAAACCCTGACCACATGGGCAACATGTTGCACAGGCATGGTCAGCGTTCTATTGGACAGAGACCTCAAAGCTCCACCTCTTTTTTTCCTCAGGCACCTGCTTCCCTCTGCATGTAACCCAAAAAAGGAAAACCATGTGCTGTGCAACTTACAGTGGAGTCATTAGCAACACTCAGAACAGCAATACACGCTGTAAACAACAAACACATTCTGTATGCACGTCAGGTCCATGGGCAGCACACCGCTGGACGATGCAGCCACAACCCCAAAGGCCCAGGAAAGCCTGTAACGGATGACTATGTGCCCGTTCCTGTGCCAAGGCAAGTGTTTACGCTCCCTGTACCCCAGCCAGCTAATTATAGAAGACTGAAGGAATTTGCACTTGCCAAACCAATCAGGTAGAATCACAACATGAGCTTAGTATGTGCTGGTCGTGTAACTGGACACAGAGGCAAAAATACTTCCTGAGAACTGGAGCAAGCATTAAAACCCAAAGCCCCCTGTCCAATACTTACAAAACCTGCAAACTAAAGCAGTAGTGGGCATCAAAAGTTTGGGAACAACAAGGCTTTCATATTGTCGTATTAAATAAAAAGCTGTTTAGGTTTTACCACATTGCTTTGCAAAAACTGCTAAACTGGTAGAATAACTGTAAGCAGCCCTACCTTGGGTCAGCACTCATCAGCACCCAAACCTTTCAGGTTAAACCACTTTTGAGCTTCAATATGCATGTTTATTGGTAGTTTATAAATAGTAACTGTCAAATCATTGATTAAGCAAAACCTGCTCTTCATATTAAGGAAGACAGTTTGAACATGAAGCTGAGTGCTGAAGATAAATATACCCAAAGGATGAGCATATAGTTGCTATATGTTAGACAATAGGAAATATGTGCATTTTTCTGCCGTACCGTGACGTATTTGCTAGTGAAATACAGTATCAGAGAGGGTGTCTGAACTTGACTTTAGTTCAGAAATAGGTGGGGGGTGAAATATGATATTACTGGTTAATATTATTTTCTATTATAATATTAATTAATATTATTAATATTAATTATAATATTATTTTCTAATATATTATTAATATTATATTCTCTGCCCACTTCAGCCCGATGAGGTAATCAAAAGTCAGAACAGGTTTTAAAGGCAGGAAAAAGTCATTACATTTTGAGGGAATATTACTGGAAAACAGGAATTTTGTGTTTAAATGATATGATATGCTTAACATAACCGGGGGAAAAACTGACAAGGTAGAAAAAGGCCAGTTTTGACTTTAATATAATCTTTGCTGATATTGCTTGTTACCTCATTGAAAAGTAACAGTGGCAAACACCACTCGGGGAAAAAAAAAGCAGAACGTCTGACAGGAAGTGAATGTTGAAGTTTGATTTGGCCAGCCAGAAAGTTACCCAAACTCCACTTCCTCACCCAGTGAGAGAATAAACACTTTTTATGCTATATACAACTCATTATATTCTTATTTTCCTTTCCAATTTTTATTCTGAAGTAATGTTAAATACAATTTTGAACACAAAAGTTGAAACCTACTTACCTTTTTCATTTGCTACCTTCTTTATTTCTAAGTAAAAATGAGTTTGCAACTCTTCTACAAATGCACAGATTTAACAAAAGTAAGTATGGCATTTTCTGAACATTTTAGTGCCCAATTTGTATTTATTTGCGAGTTTAACAAAATTATTTTAAATTATTTTTGCTTTTAACATAAAATCTGAAATCTGCCATAACTTTTGCACAGGCCCAAGTTTTTTTTGCTTGCTTGTTTGTTTGTTCTGTTTATGTTAAATTCAGCAAATTGTGCATTAAATTCAGAAAGAAATTGTGGATTAAAATGTGCAGATATGCTCTGTGTGTTATTTTCACTTAGAAAATTAACAAAACGTGGAATTTGACCAGGGGTGCTCAAACTTTGGCATAGATCTGTATACTGTTTGTTTTTTGGTCCTCGGCCCACCACAAATACTGCACTTTGGCACCCTCCAAGACAAAACATTCAAGCACTTCTGAAACGTCATCAAGTCAATATGGTGTTTTTACCACAGAATTGGGAAAAGCTATTAAGTTGTATGGAATTAGGAAAAGCCATTAAGTCTAAAGCAAAAAATATAATGTTTCTGAGCTGTTAAATATGGTCTAGGGTCTCTAGGACCATGAGTTTAATATGCAGTCTTCTGTCTGTCTGTCTCTCATTGGCCTGGTGCCAATGTGTTCTGTTCGGAATGAAATCCCTGAGGTGTAGATTTCATTATCTCCTGCTGCAGGTCCCCCAACACCCCTCATAACAGCTTACATAAGAGTGTCCCCTCTCCTCTTCGATAAACTGGCACAGCTTCATAACTGACCCAGTCACACACACTGAGAATAACACACACTCATTCTCATTGTTTTGCCTTATTGTAACAGCTCTGTTGTTTTTTCCCACATTCTCAAACCCAGCATATTCACAGTTTAATACAGGGTCACTCAGTCCAAATGATGACTATGAGCATTGTGTGAGCCCCCAGATAAACCCTGTCTTACTTGGAAGTCTTGGAGAATACACTAGAGAAGAACACACCCTTTTGAAGAGGGTCATTCATGCTCAGGCCATGACGTCCAAAAGAAACACAGGCACGTACAACTTCATTCAGTTAATGCTTTGCCTGTAGGTGATTTGAATCAATAGTTTGGCCAAAAAATAAACTTGCACATAAATTTCCCACTCTGTTTCCACTGCATTGGAGCTATGAGGCTAAGTTAATAGTCTATAGCATTCAGCCAAAAGAGCATTAGTGAGGTCAGATACAGCTGCTGGATGATTAGTTCGGGATCACATACGCCACTGCAACACCTCACCAAGGTATTGGATGTAGCTCCCGAGAACAAAGTTCTACTGCTACACAGGCCAGTGCTCAGCGGCTTTATAACCATTAAGATGATGCTTGGCAGCTTTAGGCTCATGTACGGCCCATTTCCCATTTCACTTATGTGGTTTCTGACAGTGTGATAGATAAAAATGACAAAACTAAAGACAAAATTCAGGCTTCAAGATAACGTCTTTTACTGTTTTTAGCTATGCAGCATACATTCATCCATTTATATAGATAACAGCAATTTATACAGTGTCAGAAACTACATAAGTACATCTATTAGACATTAATTAATGTGGTTTGAAGCAAGTGTGTGATGATTTTAGCATGCAGTTATGCACAATGCTAATTACATTACTTGTTAACCGGCTACATTAGCCTGGCAGCTCGAAAAATAAAGGAACAAACGTCAGGCATCAAACATGTCTTGGCTCACTGACTACATTTGGTTTAAAGAGGAGAATCAAGTAAATTATTGGACGAACTTTCACTTTAAAGGACAATCTTGCAGACTTTCATCATTAGTCTGTACGGACATGCAATGGCCGCCTGGGAGGGGCCCATATAAACCAGGCCTCAGGTCTATCAATAGTCCGCAGATCAGAGTGTGTAGCTCTCATAGGAGCTGTGATTATGTCAGACTGGCTGAATGTAGGTTCCCTACTTTATTAAGCCCCAGGGGGACAGGTGTGTGTCATTGCGTAAAGCCAGAACCAGGACTCATTCACTGTCATTAACCTGTCGCTATCCCAGTGACACAACAGGCAAGTGTGAATCATTCACTGTTTACAAATCTGCTGTGCTAGTGTTAATTGTTAAAGCATTACTGTACTGCACTACTGTTCATATGTTCAAATCATTCTAATATGATGGCAGAACTCTAGATCTTCATAGATTTTAAATAGTGAGTAGGAAGCTATTAAACTTTAGCTGTAGACAACACTTGAGAAATGAGAAAGCTACATGGCATCAGAAAATGGTAAAATTAACATCACAATTGCCTTGCATTTAAAAAGCAGTGATCAAATCTTAAGCTGGTTGAAACTGATCAGGGTTTCATTACTGAACTCAACCAAATGACGAAAAGCTGTGTGTATACGGGGTATAAAATACAAAGTTCAAAATTTGTTTAGATAAATTTGCAGATATAGCAAAGACCAAGCAGTGTCTCATATTTAATGTTAATGTGTTAAAGTGCACAGCTTACATGCATGAAGAGCATAACAATGCACATTTTCAGGTTCAACTTTCCATTCTGAGGTCAACATTCTGAGAAAAAAAAATACAAAAAACATTATACAGAGCTCTAACTATATACCACAGACTGGTCTGGCTTAGATAAATAAAAGTTCTCCAACAGAACTTTTGACACTTGCTGCACTGCCCTCTAACAAAATAAAAAAAACAAATTCATAACTGATTCATACTATGTTATTGTGTGTGTGTGTGAGATGTGTGTGTGAGAGATGTGTGTGTGTGCGTGTGTGGAAAAAGAAACAAGGATGGGTTTCTAAAATACACTGTTTATTTACTGGTTTGTACAACACACTACTGCTTCTTTTCCAAAAAAGATTAGAGATGTTCAGTACACATTCAATTGATGTAGACAATCAACCAACAAATGAGCAAAAACAAGAAATTATGTCCAACTGCAGATTAAATAATCCTCAAAAACAAATGAGACATGAGAAAAAAAAAACAGACCAGGAAACGGCGTATAAAAGCTCTTCTTGTTATGTACAGACAGAGGATCACACAGGGGTTTTTCCTGGTGTTTTCACTAACATCGCTGAAGTGAGGGAGGTGACTGTGAGGTGTGAGGGACTGAATGACTCACACCTGCTCTCCCAGGTCAAGCACTCGGAATTTGTCCAGGTTATAGAAGCAGGCCTTCACCACTCGACCTCCAAAATACCTTCCGTTCAGATCCACCACAGCTGAGAAAGAACACACACAAACCCAGATACAGGTTATCCATGTGACACAAACTCTCAGACATTTACCTGTAAACATGACGGGACAGTGAGTCATTCAGTACTTTTCTTTAACCTTATATAGTGAGTGGAAACAAGTATTCAGACACTTTTGTTTTTGTTATTTTACTTCCAATACATACAACTACTTCACATGTGCCCACACAATGTCTGTCAATATGAACAAAAAAGCATGTATTCCTAAGCATGAAGTGTTATTACGGCTGCATGTTTGGGATTTTTGCCGTGGTATGACATCTATCTTCTAACCTTTTTTGGCCAATGAGATTACATTTCTTCTCTAATATTTCCCAGTACATTGCTTCTTATGTTTCCTTCGATGACATATAAACCCCCAGTACCATTTGCAGAGAAGCAGCCTCATGTCATGATGCTCCAGAGTATGTTATTCCAAAAGAGTGCAGATCTGTCTAAATGCTCATGTGCAAATTTTAGAAGCGCATCTCTGCTTCTTTTTAAAAAGAGTTTTACAGGGCGTAGGAACAAATTGTTATTCTTATTGTTTGCTGTTCCTGCTGCTTTCAGGCCGTCCTGCAACTCTTCTCAAGTGACTGTGGGCTTCTCTCTTACCTTCCTTCAATCACTAGTCTGAGAGAAAACTTGCATTGTGCACCTGTTGAGGAATGATTAGTTGTGGTTCTATGAACTTTTCAATTGTATATCATCATAACAACCATACTGACAGGGTTGTTTCAGGTCTCTGTGACATCTTCCACTGTGTTGTTAAATAATGTTGTCCCTGAGAACTTTAAGCTAAGTTCACATTACAAGCCTCATTGCTCAAATCAGATTTTATGCTTAAATCCGGTCTCTCTGATTGAATCTCTCTTCACACTCATTTAGGTAAGTGATTCAAATCTGTCATTAATGTGAACGAACCAACAGCCTGAAATGACCCACATGTGCACATCCTACTCAGTAACGTCACATGAGTGAATCATGTGCGTCACGTGCATCATCAGAAACAAACTAACAAGTAGAACGAGCTTCGCTGTGAAGATAATTAACTCTGAACAGCTCTCAGCTGCTCATTATTAAAGCAAGACAAAGGCGAAAAAGGTAAGATGTGTTGCTTTTCCACCGTTTACAGGCTTTAACTTCTGTTCGGCGCTGCTGCCATAGTAACGCTGAATGATGGCACATGCGCAGTGGAAAAAAGCACAGGAATTCCGATCTGATCGTCACATTAAGGTCGCATGGCCATGAATCGGATACGTATCTGATCTAGGACCACATATGAAAGTGGATCAGGTCGGATTTGAAAAGTTTAGATTTGCGTGTCCACACAGCTCTAAAACATCAGAACTGAGTCACATTATGGCAAAAAATCGGATTTGTGGCACTTCAACCTGGTAATGTGAACATAGCCTTAGAAAGCTCTTTCTCCTTCACCATGATTGCCTCTTATTGCAGTAAATCCTCCCAAACAATGGCAACATCTTTTATCATAACATCAGGTGAAATTGACGTGAGAACATTTTTATTTCAATTTTTTGCAAAATTAATATGTAGAACTTTACTTTTATTTTTAACCTTCACATTTCATCACTGTCCAAAAAAAAGAAATATCTCCATTTTTGTTGATTTTTATTTATTTATTTTTTTACATCATTTGGGCACAGCAGTTGCCCTTTTCTCAGTGTAGATCTCATAATGAATAGACCCACAGAAATCCTCCAAAATTACTTGAATGAAATCTCTGTACATTAAATTTTAAAGAAAGTGAAGAACATTTTTATCTTCTCCTGTAAAGTTACCATTGTGGAGATAATTTTGGAGATGATTTTCTCTGGACAGTGACAATATATGTATTTTTTAAATATACTGTCTGAAGACATTTTTTCCCCTTTATCAGTTTATTAGTGCATAGCCAAAAGGCATTAATGGAAACATAACACAAACAAAAGTGTCTGAATTCTTGTTTCCCCTTACTGTAAGTTAACTATGCATACATTATTGTTTTATAATCATGACCCAATAAAGTGTATCAGCAGAATAGTTCACCAGAAAAAGTTTTGAATTAGGGATGTAAATGATTTACTGATTAACAGTAAATAGGCAATTGCCTCTGTTAGATAGGCCTACTAAAAATTAAGTGTGCAGGCAAAAATAGTGGTGTTCACAACCACTTTGAGATGATGATAGCACTGCAACAATGTACCACATCGAAAGCAAACATCTGCAAAATTATAATACAGAAAACTATTTCATCACGTGACAGCTTAAGAGCTAGTGAGGTACATCTAGCCCAAGCTAAATATGTCTATATTTGTTTTAACTTGGGATAATAATGAGTGGTAAATATTACTTTAGAAGTTTAGAATATAGATCTTTCAGTAGATCATCACAGTATGTTCCAGTCATTTCATCAACTTTTTAGTTTTTTCATATAATCATTAACATATAGTCGTCAGACTCTGGGTTTAAATAAAGCCGGCTTCTTACGCAAAGTATGTTTAACAACTTAAGGCTATTTACTTTGTTAGATCGCTGTTTCTCAGAGACCTTACAGACCGCTCATGGAGTGATGAAAATGTTTTTTTTTTTGCAAATAAGGATGGCCACTGAAGACTAAACTTTCCAGTTCTCAAGTTGGGGAGCAGAAGGAGTCCTCTGCCAATGTGGCGGAATACAGATACAGGCTTTATACAGATACAGACCTAACAAAGGCATTGTGACTAGGTGTGAAGTCAGTCCCCAGACTGTCTAGATGATCTGACAGCGAATGTGGATTTGAGGGGTTGTGACGTCAGGACAAATGGCAGATTTCCATATTGGTTAATGGAGCTGTTAGAATAACAATATAGCTTACTTCCTGTAAATTCTAAATAACGTATATCTAAATAACATACATGAAAAACATCTGCATAAGCCCAGAAATACATAATCTAACAACATATTCACACTATGCCTAGCCCTACCAATCAGCAGTGCATTCCACAAGCCGTACAAGAAACTGAATTCATGCAGAATTCAGTTGATGTGTTTGCTCATAATTGTGTGTGTATCAAGTATTCATGCATGATTTCAGAGCCCAAATATTTTATAATTATTATTTTTGATGGAAGGTGTTCTTCATTTTAATGTGGCCAGTTAATGATTAATCTCTGACTAGTAGAATTTGGCAAAATTTGCGTCCCTAATTTCTACTAGGATACAGTATGACTTAATGTGAACTACAAAACTTCAGCCAGCCACTTTAGACAACAGGGTCTGTATTCATAAACCATCTCAGGTGTAGGAGTGCTGATCTAGAATCAGTATTTGTGATGGTGACAGTCATTAATACAGAGGAATCCTGATTTGTGGATATCAGCCATGCAGTTTAAGCAGGTTGAGAGAAGTTTTGGCGATGTAATTTTGTGCTTTTGTGTGCTATGACCGATTTTATGCTGTTTGGGTGATTATTGCGTTCTAATGTTTGTTAGCAACTTGAGCCTTGTAGCTCCAGTTCTAAACAAAAGAAGCAAAATCTGGACTCCAAACATGTCCTGGCTGAATGACTACAGCTGGGGTAAGAGGAAGATTAGATAAAAATGATATTGCCAAATTATTTCTAATACATTAATTTATAATTTAAGTGTGTCCTTAAGCAGAAACCACAAGGTGTACTACTGAACTCTATGCATTAATTGCAGCCTTTCATTATAAGGAAGTAATTGCACAGGCCCTATTTTGACCAGTACATAAAGACCCAAAACACAAATGTGTGTTTTCTAGTTTATCCTTTTAAAGATTTGCTACAAATATATATATATATATATATATATATATATATATATTGTGTGCAGGTGCATGTGTGAGTCACTGAGAACAACTGATGCAGGTGATACAACACTATTGCTCAGAGCCCCTCCATACCTTCCTGAACTTCTCTGATTCTTAGAAGTGCGTTCTGATGGCCTGTGTGGGAGGGTGGTGTTGTTATATAAACAATGTTTTGGTCTGAAGGTCATGATCTCAGACTTTTTTCTTTTCATTGCTGGAAAGACCCGATGTGAACACAACTGCTAATCAGGGATCAGAAGAGGAGTTGCTGAAATGCAACAACAAACTGAGTAGTAGGAACATATTAGAGCACAGCTAGTCCTGAATAAAGACATCATTGTTTCGAGTAACAGGCTAAATGAGTCCAAACCAATTTGTTCGAGTGAGTAAATGAATTGAACTGGTTTGCTTTGCGAGTTCTCTGGAGGATGTGATGTAACTCCGCAGGTGATGTAACGCCTGAGGGACCACGCTCACTCACCTGCTTCACTTACAGAGAGACAGATATCTGGGGCACCTGAATTAGACACAGCCGAGTACAGACACATACATAAGGAGGGGACAAAAAGAACGATGGAAAGAAAGAGAAAAAAAAGAAGAAAAGATGGAAAGAAAGAAAGAAAGAAAGAAAGAAAGAAATAAAGAAAAACAGAAAGAAAAAAGAAAGCAAGCCCACCTTTAATTGCTGACTCGACCCGTTCAAACTCCAGGAATATTCTCACTGCTTCATCATCCGCCACATCTGATATCTAAATATCACAACATAAGTAAATTAAATTCAACAGGTTTTGTTATTATGTACACAACTAGAAATGGGTTCATTTTACAGTTTTTGTTATAAATCTGAAATGAAGCACTGTTTCACAGCTGAAGGACAGTTAATGGACTATTATAAGGACCAGTTCTGAAATCTGATTGGCTGAGCCATGTTCAAAGCCATTGTAAAATACTCTATATAAAGACGTACGACCGCACACATCAATTGAATTCCGTATTAATGCTCAAAAATTTATTATTATGCTGTTCATGGAGTCTTTTTTTTTCATTATGTTAAGAAACAAAGCATACTGTTAAAGAACTACATCGCTTGACAGAAAAATGAATCGCAAAATTCTGTTAAGCTTCACCTCCTATAGATACTGTTGCCAATTCACTTTCTACCACACCAATTCAGAACAAAAAAAATATATTAGAGACCATATTTAAATTGAACAAACCACGAAAATATTTTTGCCACGGAACATTTATGTGGCAGGAATTCATGTCAAATAGGGTGAAGGTCTGAGCAACTGGGGCTACCCTTTCAGATGAGCTAATGCAAAAGCTAACGGTGGTCAGTGACATGTTTAGGAGGACTCACAGTCTTTTAACAATACAAGTGAAGGCATGTAGACGAGCACATACATATATATCTTTGCGCAGAATGTTTTTAATCGCAAATGTGATCGCTGTATTGTCTTGTTTAATCTGCTTGATTTCATTTAAAGTAACAATCAACAGTTAAATTAAGCAAAGTTACCCTGGCTAGCTAGCTAGCTGATCTTAACATGTCTGTAACATTATTTATTTAGATCGCTGTATTTGCTATAAATACAGCGATCTAAATTAACTTTATCTTATCTCAGAGCTGCTTGTTAATAGTTTTGATATTGAGCTGCAAGTGTGAACTTTTAAAGTTTAATACAAAACTTTTTCAGTTTCAGAAATAAAAACAGCAGAAGCTTAGGACAGCATATGTCCGAATTAAAAATGTTACTAAGTAACAGCTTTTTACCATTTTTTTGTGTAACAATTATGACTATCGTTCTCACTGCAGGTTTGCTCTGGAGAGTTTTGTCAAAGTTTTTCTTTCACTGGAAAGAAACTAGGTAACAGTTAGAGAAGGTTCTGATTGCCTGAGAGGTGTTTCAATCCTTATTCTGCAAAAAGTCAAATGTTTGTTGTAATGATTATTCATACTCAAATCATTTGTTGATTTCTCAGTTTCCCAATTCCATCTAATCAGCTAATGAAAAAGCCCTTATTAAAATGAAGTGGGTGTGCTTAGAAAGCACTAAAATGTGCAGGGCAGGGTTAGGGTTAGGGCAGGGGGTACTCCCTGTCCTGGGCGCCTAATAGCCTTAACATCACTGGGCCCTAAAGCACCAAGCCAACTGTCAGCCTCCAAACAGTGTCGGTGGCTGACTGTTGTTCACAGTCTGATTATTGTGTCTTGCACCACTGGCTGTAGTCAGCTCTTGTTAGCACTGTTTTGGCCAATTCAGCATGTTCTCTAAGATATTCTTTGTTTTGTACTGCAGCTCCTGATATGGAGAGCTGTTCCCTTTCACACAGGTACATTAAGAGTGTGTGTTTCAGCCCTAAGCTGTAGTCTTCGCAGTGTGCTTGAGTGTAAATTTTTACATAGACGAGCGCCAATTGCGAGATGACAACGTGATCATCAGTCAGCCTTGGTTTACAGTAGTTCTTCTTCGTCAGCTTGGTGTGTCTGGGCCCTAACACATGGCTTGTTGCTTTAATTCATTCTGTGTCCAGACCGCAATCAGCAATTACTATGGGAAACTATACAAATCCCAAACAAGCAACATCCTGGAAGAAGCATCTCTCACCTCAAAGATAACACATTTGACGACTTTGCCATATTTCTCACACTCCTCTTTCGTCTCCGCCTCCAGGTCTTCATCCACCTCTCCTCGTCCCACCATATTCTACAGAAACACACAGAGACTTTTACCTTTGGAGACTAACCAGACAGTCCTCAATTACATCTTGTCTTCACACGCACACACGCATACACACTGTTCTACCCCACTTACCCGCAATAGAACCACTTTCGTAGGACATTTGAGGATTTCCGTCAGAGGGTTGACCTCATTTTTCTTTGACGTATCTGCTAAAGACAGAATTAGAGAGAGATTTTTCACATAAGAACAAATCAATACACCCTTTGTTCCTTTGGTTATAACACTCAAATCTCAGCACTCATTAATTCACTTCTTTTTCTGTGAAGTAACTTCATGGAGGTAGACCATATCTGTAACCTCTTAGGATGTTTCTATGTTTTTGAGCCAAATATGGGTTCAAGTCAAATTCATACAGTAGAACAGTATTTTCCACAAGTGCTACCAATGTGGGTATAAACATTTATTACAATGAAAGCACAATATGGAATGGGGCTCTGAGTCACAAAAAGTAAACTGTGGCCTTCTTACAATCAGGAAGCCTTTTTTGTAACATGGCAATGGACAAAATATATGTGGAAGTTTGGAAACAAATGACATATTTTGTTGATTTTCTGACTGAAAATAAGTGAAAAAAAAAAATATATGCGTCGTCCACAGAGAACAAAGTTCTGCATCTGACACACTGTACATGTTATGCTTTATTTTTCCCCAATATTTTTTCCAATATGTGAGCAAACAAACAGTTGTACACTAAGATGTCTAGACAATAAAATATAAGGGTAGACCTTTTTGTCTTTTGTCTACAGCTGCATTATAATACACTTTTAATTCTCAGCCAACTTTTGAGTAAATAAAGCGTTTGTGTAAACAATCTTCGTACATTGAAAGATTATTAACAGCGGCTTTGTTGTGTAAATATATAAACTTGTCCTGAAGCAGACACAGGAGTGGGCCTTGACACAGCGTGAATCACCTTTGTGTCACATTTACGATCTCACTGATAAAGTTATCAAAGCCATTGCTCAAGGCCACAGACATTAAATCATGTCTGGGTCATAGGACTAAGCGATGACATTTGTAAGCTTCATTTGAAAAAGTACTATCATTATCAGCCTTTGACCTTAGACTTACAAACTGCTCATGTGGACGCTTCCACCCTCTACCTTAAAGCAGTTTCCGGTTCCAAACTACCTAAGAACAGCAGAGAAGTAAGGCTGTCCCAGTTAATCAATTAAATTATTATTACTACTTTCTCAAGAAATCAACAGTTTGCATTTCTATAAATGGCTTCTGTGTTTTCCAGTAAAATACTCTGCAACTTGTGAATGGCTATGCATGGTTTGTTATTGCTCTGTTAAGCCTTTTTAAAAGCTCAATCATTAATATAATCAGTAGATTACCTTCTTGTCAAACTTGTTAACAGTTTATAACACCATAATTTTTATCAACTACATGAAATAATTTGATTAATCAATTATTTAAATCACTTGACAGCCCCAATTACTGGACTACTATTTGAAGCATTAGTCACAACCCTACAGAGAAGTGGTAAAAGGTGTAGTAGGATGTGTTTTTAAACACAAACGTGTGTATTTACAAAGAAAAAAACAAATAAGCTTTGAGGATACCAGACTACAGTAGGTGAAATGAACAGGTGTAAAGACAAACCTGATGCTCCTGAAATAGAGCCAGGTGTGTCAGCCACATTCTGACTGGATCCTGAAGCTGAGAAACAGATACACACGAGAACATAAACAGAAACACAGTTAGATAAAGTCTCTATACCAAAAAAAATGATGCACAAACTACCAAAGTACAACTGTACTATAAAATCACGAGGGCTGACCCAAATAGAATTTAAATGCTGTTATAGAGATGAAACGATATTAAAATTTCATATCATGATTATCATGACCAAAATTATCACGATTATCAGTATTATCGCGATATTGTTCAAATGTGTTGAAAAGTAAAATAAATAAATAAATAAATACTGATACACAAACTGAAACTCGTTTCACCAACTTTTATATTAACACAAATAGAACTGGCAGCAATATGCACTTTTTGTTTGCATAAACATTAAAAAATAAGGTCAGTACATTTTTAGTATTACTTTTGTATTACTTACAATACTTGTAATACTCTGTAAACAAAATAATAGCAAATGTATTATTATTACTGCTATTATTATTACTGTTATAATTATTATAATTATTATTATTATTATTATTAATTACAATAACTAGGGATTTCCCTGCATAGAGAATTAAATCGCGACTAACTCTGAGGTGGGTCTTAATGGAAAATTAGTTCTTCTAAGACGTGCTGCACTCGGGGGATTTCTTTCCTAACTGCAATTGCAGCATTATTGTGCCGTTGTGGCGCTGAACCCCTGATCAACACAGTGCACCAGGAAAAACAAAATCACAGAGGAACTGTGTGACCGCGCTGTGAGCTGCAGACAGTGTAGAACTCACTCAGTGTGAGTTCACCTGTGGAGCTGCTTCTCTAAAAGCATTTTAAAACTAAAACATAACTTAAAATTAACATGCATCTGTGCTGCGACAGAAACACTCCTAAAGTTTAATCTGTGAAACACAGCGTTTACTCGCGTGAGGTCCCGTCTCAAAGCACACTATCTTCCCTATGTAGTGCACTTCGTGGATCATGAAATAGCAAATCCTTCACCCAAAGAGTGCAGGAAACGTTCGACTAAGTCATCTATAATCAACATTAACAACAGGTTACAAATCCCCTATTTAAAACTCAGCTGCTTGTTAACGATGATCGTGTTTGAACAGTAGCGCCCTATGTAGGGGACACTGAGTGATTTGAGACGGTGTTATTCTCTTCTCAGAAAGTAAACACTGAAAGCGAGACGAGAAAGCGGAGCTGTGCAGATTGAACTTTTGCAGCGTCTCGTTCCAGAGCTCATTTTGGAGACTCTGCTCCACAGAAATACATGTTAAAAGCTTTAGTTTCGATTCACGATTGATTCACCGATTGTTTTTCTTTTTTGACACTAAAAGCTTCATTTTATAATATTAACAAACCATAAGCAAAAGTTAAACCACACAAACCATGACATTTCTTCTATTTCGAAGTCCCCACAGACTTCTCCGTTAAAGTTAACCTTGCATTCTTGCAAGTAGCGGGTGGTGGTCGCGAAATGACTCGTAAGGTTTGATGTGTTGCCCCCTTTCTCCGCTATTTTCTTTCGGCCTGTTCTGCAGACAGGGTGGTCATCTTCAACTAACTTTCCTTCTGCATTCTTATAAAACCCAAAACATGACCAAACGTCAGACTTGGTCTTCTTAGAAGGCTGAAATATCTCCGAATCTCCGAGTTTTTTACACCACGGTAATCGACCGTCATTAATTTTACCGCGGTTTACCGTGAAACCGGTAACCGTTTCATCTCTATGCTGTTAATACTCGTCGATATTTCCAAAGAAGTACTTGAATACTCATTAACAACTACATTTAAAGCCTTTTTAGGCATCCATCTGACAGAAGAGTTACAGTTCTATTTCAATCAGTGTTTCAGTCCACACTGGCTGCACTAGAAATGCATATCAAGTCTGTCAAAAAAAGCTTCTGAATACTAAATAGAGAACTGAATATCAATATAACGAGTGTAACAAATGAACAAGTTTACTGTAACATTCATTTGTTACATAAAATTTCAAACATGTTTTCAAATGTAAAAATCCACATTTTCATGACTTTATGATGAATCATTTCCTAAAGTATCGTAAGTCTAAGATTTACACCCCTAGTTTACCGGGATCTTGCAGTACGTGAAAGACGTGCTTTGGAAAGTGTGTGTGTGTTGTGTAATGCTGTGAGTGTGAGCTCACTCTTTTCCGTTGAGTCTCCGATGATGATTTTGCCGCCACGTTTGCTGGTTTTCTCCACTGACAGAGCCGTGCTCAAACCTTGTTCATGCTTCCCCAGGCCCTGGCCCTCACGAAAGCCGTACTTCTGCATGATCTTATGAGCCACTGTCCCTCTGCCGGACACACACACAAGTCATTACACTTTGTTTTTACCTGGCACATCATAACACAATGTAACCAGTAACAATTGCACCTTGTGCTGCGTTGGTCACCCAGGGTCAATCCAAAGCTCAGGTGTACGATGTTGCTCTGACCCTCACTAACCCACAATGCAATGACTCATCCAAGGCCCATCTTATGCTTTACTTACAAATAGCTCAATCTTGTGACTTTGTGTACTGAATATGCAGCTGCACGCAAAAGTTTGGGCAGTCCTGGCCAAATTACATATCATATAGAAGCAAACAGAACCTCTGCAGCAAAGTGTTAAAAAACATATTTCTGCAAGCATTAATGTACAGTTTATATTTAAATAACTAAAAATAGAAGAAAGTAAAATAGTAATTTGGCGTGTGCAAATGTTTTGGCACACTTCAAGTTGCAAAGTCTCAAAACTTGATTACCTCATTAGGGGCAGGTCAAGGACCATCATTTTATGATTTTTTTTCATGATATTGGCTCTTTAATGAAATTTTTAAGCAGGAGCGTAAGGTGGCTGCTTCGCAGGAGTAGCACTAGAAATCTCATGTGTGTGCACTGAGATTCATGTCCCAACATATATTTTGTAAGTAAAATGTGGTGTCGTGGGGTTAGATGTAAGTAGTTTGCTAGTGATCAGCCTGATGCAAAGTACAGATTGATAAGTCAGAATTAAGCTGAAGTTATGCCTTTTTGAATACAGTAAATCATCATTTCCAAAATAAAATAACAAATGAAATAAATCTAACACACAAACGTTAACAGAGGTATCGCAAAACTGCTTTTAATGCAGCTCTAGCTAAAAATGTCTGTGACATCGAATAAACACTGATTGAGATCGGGAAATCTCACTCACCCCATGTTGGCCAGAAAGGAGCTCGTGGGTCCTGGAGGAGAGCGGGGTCTCTCTGAGTCTTCATAAATAGGGGGTGGAATTGCTGCTTTGGACCTCTGACGACCCTCATCATCATATGAGTATGATGCTGCCATGACAACCGGTGACAGACATAACCATAATGTTACTGACATTAATCAAACACAGTTAAAGTGAGCGACTCTTGTGGTTTTAAGGGTGCTCAGTGATACAGTCAAAATCCCATCACGGGACAACAGCTCAGCCTTGTGGAGTCAAGCTTAAACTACATTATTCACTGACAGCTCAACACTGTCTTACAATTCAGCCAGGACTGCAACTGTACTAGGGTTGCACTGATATGGGAATTCTTGTGGATACTAATATCCAATACATTGCATGAACAATCTGTGAATGTCAATAAATAAAAGTGTATGTAATGTAGAAATTGAGGCTATATCTACCCGCATTGCATTATATTTATTTGTAGAGGGTTACAAATGCAGTAAAATTAATAAAATGCAGATCTTTTGGCACAGTGGCTACCTAAATATTCCGCTCTTTATCATCAAATACTGATTTAAAATATCTATCAAATCTAAACATCTGCCTGATGCATTTTTTTAAGAGTCCATACCCCACATTATTTCCACATTGTACAATATTTCACATTTTTGTTTTGTTTATGTGGTTCTATGTACCAAAAACAGTCATAATACTTTTTTACATGACCATTTTCAGCCTCTCTTTATCCCTTAAAAATAAACAGGCTGTTCTTTGTTACTGTGCCTTTAAAACGGATATGTTAATGAGCTCTGTCCTGACTGGCTGCTCTGTATGGCATCCCACTTAAAAAGCACTCCAGGTTGAAAAACGCTTTATAACTTTAGCATGAATGGGAAAAGCTAAACTGTTGTAGGCAGAAAAGGCAAATATACACAGATGAGCCATAACATTAAACCCACCTCCCTGTTTCGGCACTCTGTCCATTTTATTAGCTCCACTTACCTTATAGGTGCACCTATTGGTCTACGATTACAGACTGTAGTCCTTCTGTTTCTCTTTATACTTTGTTAGCCCCCTTCCATCCTGTTCTTTAATGGTCACGAACCTCTCAGGACCACCACAGAGCAGGTGTTATTTTGGTGGTGGGTCATTCTAAGCACTGCAGTGACAACAATGTAGTGATGGTGTGTTAATGTGTGTTGTGCTGGTGCGAGTGGATCAGACACAGCAGCTGCTGGAATTTTTAAACACCTCAGTGTCACTGCTGGACTGAGAATAGTCCACCAACCAAAAATATCCAGCCAACAGCGTCCTGTGGGCAGCGTCCTGTGGGCAGCGTCCTGTGGGCAGCGTCCTGTGGGCAGCGTGCTGTGACCACTGATGAAAGGACTGGAGGATGACCAGCATAAACTGTGCAGAAACAGATGAGCTATCGTCTCTGACTTTACATCTACAAGGTGGACTGACAAGGTAGGTGTGACTAATAGAGCAGACAGAGAGCGTTTAAAAAAAAAACCCAAGCAGCACTGCTGTGTCTGATCCACTCATACCAGCACAACACACACTAACACACCACCACCATGTCAGTGTCACTGCAGTGCTAAAAATGATCCACCCCTCAAATAATACCTGCTCTGTGGTGGCCATGACCATTGAAGAGCAGGGTAAAGGGGGGCTAACAAAGTATGCAGAGAAAACAGATGGACTACAGTCTGTAACTGTAGAACTACAAAGTGTACCTTTATGGTAAGTGGAGCTGATAAAATGGACAATGAGCGTAGAAACAAGGAGGTAGTTTTAATGTTATGGCTGATCAGTGTATTAAAATATGATTCTTCATGTTTTAAAAATGTGAAAAAGACCCAGTTTTCCAGGACATGGACGCTTTTAACAATGTTTGCCAATACCACCATAATCAAACATTATGCATGCCTAATATAAATCAAATTACCAAAAAAAAAAAGTATGTTTTTACTTACAGTCCCTCTCCACCAGAGATGTTGGAGGAGCAATAGCAGCTCCACCCATACCTGTGTGCCAAACAAACCTTAAGTCAGAAAAATGTACAAGATATCCCACAGCTTGATTATCATCACTGTCAATTTTTTTAACACTATTTTTAAAAAATAGTGTTCTTTCCATTGTGAACATTACAGAAATAGACCTCCGAAGTTGTGTCATTTTGTAGTCAGCCTCATACCAATGTTTAGAACTCCAGGTCTAAGCTGTTTTTTTTCTAGGACATGGGATTTTCAGAAATCACCACTCTTGTGTCCTGCGGTGAACAAAATGCTCCAAGGCAAATACACTTTTTCCGGGGCACATATTTTCCACAGAGCATCAATGGATCCTCTAAATAACGAGCTCATTCAGCAGTCAAAATACAAAGCTATAGCAAGCCAATACTCCTGCACACCAGACGTTGCATGACTGTCTTTTATTAAACTTCAACACTTACATACCAGTATCAACTCCTGGAGCTCAGACTACTACTGCTAAAGCAACTTAACTAAGTTCGACAAAGCTTGCTGGTTTGCGAGTGGTATTTTGGTGAGGTTGCCAGTCTTGTGATGTCAATTCAGCGCACAGCAATGTTAGGCTGGCTTGAAACCAACATGAAAATAAATCACTTTGCTGCACTTCACGGAAGTTTATGTAGTGAGAACGATCCCAAAAAGTCTGAGCTGCTAATTTGGTTAACTAGTTGAGTAGCCAAATATGTCAATGATATGTCAAATTGTCAAACATGCAAAGTTGCATGCAACTTTGTTTTTATTGTTACACTGAGATTATGTTGCAGCTAGTTGCAGATCACTGTGTAAAGCCAGCCTTATGTTGCACATAGCAATAGTCATATTTCGGCTCCTTAACAAGCTTGTTATTCAGAAGATCTGGCAACATTCCAAGGAAACGACTAATGAATGATGACACAACTTCAGAGCTCTATGGACCAACAGAAATGGTCCACATTGATACAGAATTAAATATTGCTACATTCACAAACATTACAGTTAATGATGATTTTCCTTCTTATCTAAATGATGAGGTTTGTTCTGACAGCAAGAATATAAAATGAACGTGTGAAAAATAGAACAGAAGGAAAGAGGCAAGTTGTAGAAAGAGCAAGTAATCATAATGGAGTTTCAGAAGACACCCACTCCTCTTCCTCTTCTCTTTCTCATACTCTTCTTCCTCGTCAGAGTCTGCCTCTGTGGGGAACCGCGAAAATCCACTGGGGGCTCCTCCCTCATGACGCTCCTTACGCTTCCTATGGATCGTAAACAGATGAGAGATAAGAAATGACACACAAACCAGTCTCTGTGAAAAGACAATAACATTTACTATGAGGACACAGGTGTGGGCAACATGGCAAAAATTTAATATCAATGCTTAAAGCTGCATATTCTGTAACGTTGGTTGCGCCCCGGACCCCAACAAGCAGATGCTTGTGATGACAGGGAGTGAGTTGAGAGAGTAGCAAAAGAGAACTCGATGTAAGTGAATTATCCATTACCATAGCTTGATCAGTATAATGTTGATTCTGAGACCTAAACATTGAGTCGGATCTTCTTTTTGACTTAATTTTTTAGATATTTCTATAGAACCATTTCACATCAAACCACACGACCTTGCTTACATCTCAATGATTGAATTATTGCAAGTCTGAACTCTTGGTGGAATTCCCCTTCAAACTCCTAATCTCTCAATAATAAAGTGAAACTCTAGACATTTGCAATAGGCCCTTTTCAAAAGAAGTGGAAGTGCATAAAAAATAAAACCAGTTCCACTATTGCCATACAGACAGCTACCAAAACACTAGATAAGCCATGTTAGTTGGAGATGTTGAATAAGCTTGCTAACAATAAACTAGCTGGCAAAAAGCTAAACACGTGCACATTCTGGCAGGGGGGCGTGCCGCACTGTCATGGTCCGTAGCGCCACTCTAGACGTTTCCCACAACTATTGGCTCCAGTGAACAAACATTTATTCCTTGCCGAGCACTTGCTCTCTCAGACAGTTTTTGAGGGAGAAAATGAAAATTGTTCCTTTGAAAGCGGCTGTTGCAGCAACTTTAAAGCATGAACTGCATTCAGCATAACGTTAGTCAGCAGCGAGTTTATTCTTTTGTTAATTACTCAAACCCTTTTCCTCTGCTCATTGTGAGCCGACACTCCATTAAAACTGAAACAAGGCTGCTTTTGCTTCACCTGAGTAAGCTGTACACATTCTACTCATCATCGCTGTTACTGTTGTTGCATTACCGGTAGCAGCGTTAACCTGCAACGAGTACTTCCAGTGGAAACAAATGCAGAAATGTGAAAAGGGCCTATACATGTTTTTCAATGATTCTTGCATTTGATCAATGTTCTTTAAGTTTGTGAAGATACCCTCAATATTCTCAGCTTACTGAGAATTTATTGTGCTTATATCATTGCGTTCATTATCATATCACCCACTCCTATGTGTACGTGTGGAACATGTGCTTACTTCTCCCTCTCCTCGATCTCCTTTTGGCGCTCCTGCTCCCTCTGCCTTTGCTGTTCCTCTCTGTGTCTTTTCACCACTTTCTCATAGTCATTGGGGAACATAGGATCATATTCATCTGCCAACGGGATTAGAACATCACCTGCGGAAAAGCCAGCTGGCGCGGAGTCCTGTCTCACACAGACACACACACACACATGCTTATTCAGCTAGCCATAGACCTGTGTCCAGTGATGATAAAATGTAACAGATCCCAGGGACAGCAAAACCTATTTACCACAGCTTTAAAAAAAAACATTCATTTATTTAATCATTTATTTAAAGCTAATCATAGCAAGACACTAGCATTCCCACACATAAACATAACAGAGCTCTTCAACATGTTGTGCAATACAATAATGAACATTAATACCACATTTAATGAACCTATCATAGACTATCATTGTTCTAAGAACCCAACTGTTGAGCTGCGCTGGTTGAACATTCCTTCTGCTAAAAGTGCATGTACTCCCCTCTTTCTTGCTCTCTCACACATAACCCTCACCTTCAACCCTGCTGCTACATGTGGAGGTGTGTCTGAAATTTGTCTGTCGTCTCCAGCACTTCCTCTCTTCAGATCAATGACTGGGGCCAGAACAGTGGACTGCCTCATCCTCTGAGTCTGCAAAGAAAAAAACCATTCAACAAAATGGGCCTGTATTCATGAAGTTGATCAATGATCTGCTCCAGTCAGTAAAGTCACAGAAAATAAGAGCGGAATCTGATCCTAGATCTGCACTCCTACTCTGAGGAGCTTTGTGAATACGAGGCCCGATACTGACAAAATACTGTATTGGGATTATATTGTTACATACTGCAATTGTCACATGCTTTCAGTATAATTCTGTAATATAGTTAAAATGTTGGCCTGCGTTATTTTGACCAACAGAATTTTCTATTGTTAGATTAGACAGTTACCTTGATTCATCAGAACACCTAGAAAAGCACTACTAGGACTGGTCAAGCTGCAGAATTAGTTAGAGGGCCCATTTGCGTATCATAGCCTTACGTGATATAAGAATTGCAAAACAAAGATCTCTCAACAATGAATAATAAGTGATCATCACTACTAGTTGAAATGGTTTCTATTTACACAATAATCTCAAGCATGAACTTGACTTCAGAAATCACAGACAACACAGAACACATACCTTTGCTTGTGTAAGAGCAGCTTTTTTCACTTTTAGCTGAGACTGAAGCAGTTTGAAGTTCTTTGACCATCCTTCAGTCTTTGCATCGCTGGTAGCGACCCCCAAATCATCGTAAAGAGACATTGGTTCTCCTACACAATACAAAATGCAAAAATACATAAGTTTATGGTTTCGTGAAAAATGCTAAACAAAAAAGTATGCTGAAACACTCTTGATTCCCTAAGCAACTCACAAGCACGTATACCACGTTAAAAAAGCAGTGCCTTGAATAATCTGTACTAGGGATGAGTAGACCTGATCTAAGTGGATTGTCATACTGCAGGAAATCAGTGTTCATCAACTTGTCTCCTGGAGAGTTTCACAAAAAAAGAATTCCAAGTTAGCAAGAAAACTTCAGGTCAAGAGCATTCCTGTTGACCAGTCGTTTGGCTTATGTTATTATTGAGAAAACCTTTTTTATATATGTAAATCATACTCTGTGGGGATATACTATACAGCTTAGCAGTGGTTTTCATTGGACTTCTCTCCAAAGGACTCCCAGTTAGATGAGAGATCCGGGATTTGAGCTAATCTCAGCAGTAAGGTACGAGTTCAAAAGGAGACCTGTTGTGCTAAATACTGGCATAAAGTCTCAAAAACCAGGACTGTCACTGGTTTCACTTTTAAATGAGCAGATTATAAGATCTACTATCAAAGACCTAAGCCAGAGTCAGACGTTACTGTCTGACACCAACACCTGTACAGACTATATGTGTTATGTACAGGAATATACCACAGTTGGGTGATTTCCTGCACAAACACAAACAAGACTGATTCAATTAACCAGTTAATGCCCGACTTTGAGGTGTGATAGAGCCCTGAAGCACCTCAGCTGGCCACCTCTGTTCTACCTAACACAAAACATCATGTGCCTGTAGACGTGCATCCTGAGCGGTAAGCAGCTGAAAACATCCAGTGAGCAGCAGCGAGAGAAGAAAAGCCCGGTTGGTGCGGAGCTTCACGGAGCGCCAGACTCCGAGCTGAGCTTCGTGACGCTCCACACTAGAGAGCCTCAGCCAAACAACCACCCAGCACAACACAGAGACACCGCGGCGTGTCCGAAAAGCGAGCCAGACTCTCTTTTGATAAATACCTGTAATTAAATATCAACCGAGAGTGAGGATCTTCTTTATTTCGCAAACTTAGCACAACATGCTAACACAGCGGCGCCTGGTCGTCGCATTCAATGACATCATCAGAAATGGCCACAAGAGGAAAAGCGTATGTGCTGCCCCCTAGCGGTTATCACCTAGAAATACTGCTGCCGGAGGAGTCGGGTGGTCGGCTGGTTGTTTTTGTTTGTTCGCAGGGACGTGGGAAGTGGGATGCTGCTAAAAACTGCTAAAAGCAATTAAAACAGTAAAGAGATCTAAACGTTTGAATAATTGTAATAATTAGCAAGGCCTACGTGTGTTTGTTTTAGAGTGGAGTTTATATCTATTTCTATTTTTATTTCTACTTTTTTCAAAATATGCAGTAGCTGCACTGTTTCAGTTCACATCAAGTGTTTCAAACTAACATCAAAGAGACTTGTTTACATATATTATTTTACATACATGTCATCTAGTGGGTCAAACGTGATGGTCAAATAGAGCTCAGTTTCTGACATGACGGGGTCATAAAATGGCACAAAGAGGTGCTCTTTGCATTTTGAATCACCATTCATTTCAGTTTTTATAGTTTTTTTTATAATTACATTTACATTTTTCATTTACATTTTTTAACCTGCAGTCACATCCAATTGTTAACCCACCTTTGAACTCAAACAGCAGGGGGCGCTCTGTCCGCGTTTCCTCCTAAAAGAAAATAGTTCATCATACTTGATAGTGCGATCTTTGCAGGATGGCGAGAAACAATGTGTGTTTTTAGCATGTTAATTATTAAATCATAATCAAATGAAGCTTTGCTGTTATTTAAAGACATTTTCAAATGGAGAATCAGCAGTGTTTTATACAAAATTACAGCCCATTACGAGACAGAATATGTGAGTTGACAGAGCTGTCATCACTGAAAATAAACATAATCAAGTTTGTTGGATAAGAAGGTTTTACTTTATATCATCAATATATTGTTCTTTAAGGATGTACTTTAAAAGTCAGACGTTTGAACACTTTTACTCAGGGACATCAAAGCTGTAATGGAGTTGTGCAGTGTTTAACAAATCAATACTATCTTATATTTTTGGTTCTATTATGCGCCTTGAAGCAGTTTTATACACTCTTGATGTTATCGCCACTGACGAAGTTGCTAGAAAATCACTGCGGTAAAATTGCGGAAAAACCGCTGGAGGTATTTCAAAAATAAACAAATTTCAAGAAATTAAGTAAAAAAGTTTAAATAAAAAATACCTTTAAGAACCTTTAATATGAAAAACACATTTAGCCATGTGTCCAAGTCTTTGTCTAGTACTATACTAGCTAGTGACTAGTACTGGTAAAGTCCGTTGCGCTTTTACTATCTTAAAAGGAACCATGATGTGGATCCTCACTTCCGTTCATACGTAACTTGCATATTGTTTTCCCCAGGGCTGTAGCGCTCTTTAACCACTTCACACTTGAAACTTTTAAACTGAACCAACAAACTGAACCTCCCTTTCAGTATTACAGTATAACTCCTCCTGTAGCATAATTGTGTTATATATACCCTGTAATATTCTGTATATAATAGTTTTTATTCCCAGCTGGCACATGACCGACCTTCAACGTTGAAATGTGGTTGAAATAATGTCAGTTGTTATTTCAACGTTGAAAAAACGTTGAAACAACTGTTAATCTTAAATGCGACTCCCCCTCGCGTGCACGCGCTTCACGTAAACATGTGGACGTTTCGGACTGCACTCAGGATTTCTTAGGTTATTTCTGTGTGTAAATAACGCTTTATCTTTAATTTTCCTTCACAGCGAACAACACAACAGGATCTAAAGCCAAACAAAGACTCTCACCGCGACGGTTTAGCTTAATATTACGAAATAAAATAAAAACGATTGTTGTTGCTGCAGTACTTGAGAACTGGTGGGACTGAATGGCTTTCAGTCATGACGAGAAGTGTTACGACACATTAAACACAGCTTTAAACCTCTGGAGCAATAAAGTTCACATCTGATGACCTGACGCTGCAGCATTAGCTGACCTGTTTTTCTTGTCATTATTCAGCAACCAGACTTTCATTGCTTGCATAGCTAAGACAAATGAACAAATCAGTATACAATACTGCATAAAAGAGTTTGCTATAATTAAAAATTGCAGTAAGAACAATTGTTGTAATGGTAGTAATTTAAGATTAATTTTGGCTGAAAAGGCTTCAGCTTTTACATAGTCAGAAGGTGTTTTGTGAACCTGTCAAAATTATGCCCCTCTTATCTCTGGGGATGCATTATGACTGGAATGATTAACTTGTTCTGCTGACTTCTGGTTCATAGATTACAGCATATAAAGCATATTTCTCAAAATTCAACAGGGGAGATTTTACTGGGGGAGTAGAATTTTGGCAGGTGTCAAAATAATCCTGCCAAAATTCTACTCCCCCCAATAAAATCCGCCCTGTTGAACCTAGAGTAAAATGAATTTCAGGACACAATCTACAGCCCAGGACATGCTAGCAAAATAAAGGAGATGTCATTCAGACCTTGCAGTGCTGAGATCAGAGGGGGAGTGTAATTTCAGCAGGTGTCAAAATAATACTGCCAAAATTCTACTCCCCCCAGTAAAATCCAAAATTTCCCCTGTTGAATTTTGAGAAATATGCTTTATATGCTGTAAACAACAAGTTAATCGTTCCAGTCATAATGCATCCCCAGAGATAAGAGGGGCATAATTTTGACAGGTTCACAAAACACCTTCTGACTATGTAAAAGCTGAAGCCTTTTCAGCCAAAATTAATCTTAAATTACTACCATTACAACAATTGTTCTTACTGCAATTTTTAATTAGAGGCAACTCTTTTATGCAGTATCGTATACTGATTTGTTCATTTGTCTTAGCTATGCAAGCAATGAAAGTCTGGTTGCTGAATAATGACAAGAAAAACAGGTCAGCTAATGCTGCAGCGTCAGGTCATCAGATGTGAACTTTATTGCTCCAGAGGTTTAAAGCTGTGTTTAATGTGTCGTAACACTTCTCGTTATGACTGAAAGCCATTCAGTCCCACCAGTTCTCAAGTACTGCAGCAACAACAATCGTTTTTATTTTATTTCGTAATATTAAGCTAAACCGTCGCGGTGAGAGTCTTTGTTTGGCTTTAGATCCTGTTGTGTTGTTCGCTGTGAAGGAAAATTAAAGATAAAGCGTTATTTACACACAGAAATAACCTAAGAAATCCTGAGTGCAGTCCGTAACGTCCACATGTTTACGTGAAGCGCGTGCACGCGCGGGGGGAGTCGGATTCTGCCGGGGAGTCGGAATTCGGCACAACACCCTGCTAACTTGTGCTAAACTGTGACGAATTTCAGGAAGAATGACTCAAATTTGAGCGAGTGAAGTCGAGGGGACGGTGCTGGAGTGTCCGATCAGCAGAAACTAATCAGGTTTTGTGGTGTGTGGGGCTGTTAGTTTAGCAGGTAACGGCTTCAGAGCACGGACCAGGTTTGATGCTTCACTCAGACGAGATGAAGCAGAAATCTTTAGAGAGACGCTGAATGACTGGAGTTAAAACTTAAAGGGGAACTCCACTGATTTTCAAAAATTCTGCATAATTCAGTGGTTGCCATGTTGACAGTCATTCACAGGGGTTTGGCGTGAAATGCCCTGCTATAGTGAAACCTACGATTGAGGAAATGTTAAAAATGGAACCAGACGTCTGAAGAATTAAGTGCCTCTGAAAACTCCCTCTTAGAAAGTTATTATATGAAATGGTTAGATGTGTACTGTGTGATGCCTGAAACTTTTTTTTATGTTAGTTTTGTGATAAAATTTTAACTCTAATTCATTAATGCCGGAGGGGTACAAGCAGGACAAAATAGTCTCCAAAGAAAACTCTTTTTTCCCCGACTATATTTCCACCATCAACATTACACAAACACATACAGGTTCACTGGTGGTTTTAGATAGTAAATAAAATGGCTATATTTGAGTTGTAGTCATGGTGACCCCTGATTCCTATCACCACTGTAAAGAAATGGTACACTTATTTACAATGAACCATTTTATATCAAACCACTCTGAATGACTCTGCAGCCACATGTTCACATTGTTTACATGTTTACATTGGACTGAATTATTCAGGAATTTCGAATTGGTAGAACTTTGTTAACCTAACTGGATAAGAGTTATCCTAACAGAGCTGAGCTATAACTTGGTTACTTTCTGTCTGATAGTTTTACTTGCTTGAATTTGAATATCTAAAACAATTAACATTAGGTCAGTGTTCAGTTTTTGGAAATTCATTATCCATATTTTAAGCTACGGAAGTTCTTCTTACCAGGAGTGAGCAAAGTACAAAACTTCTGAACCTGAGTAAAAGTAGAAATTCTTAAAGTACAAGTATTCTATTTGTTTATTACTTGAATTAAAGTACAAAAGTACTTGTTGTGAATTGGAAATCATAATGCACTATATATTAATTTCATTTTTGCAAAAGTAAGTACACTTTTATAGAAGATTATGGTAAAGTAAGAATTTTGTTATGTGATGAATTAATATGACCATGGTGATTAATAAAGTAAAATGAACTAAGAAAGGGTAAAGTTCCATTTTGATTTCAGATTGACTTTAAAAGTATTTCATCAAATTATCTAGTAAACTTACTGAATTTCTTTAATAACTTACATCTCCTTTACTTCTGATACCAAGTAATTTAAAGCAAGCACAGATAGTGATCTACTTTTGGTCAAGTAATATTTTACCAAGAGCATTTCTACTTTTACTCAAGTACTTATGTACTTTGTCCACACTGCTGCTGGCTTACAAGCAGAGGCTAGGAAACAAACCCTGTCTGCATAAATAGGTATTTCTCAGGTTTGGAAACAATGCCTTGGCTGGATTTGGGAGGCTTGTCTGCTTATACAAATGGAGTTAGTCAACATAAGCATGGCTGTGTCTGTTTGTTGTTAAATTTAGTATCTTAAACTTTGATTAAATGTGTCCTCTTCCTACAGTCATCCATCTGCTGCTTCTAGTTCTCCACTGTTAAGGACTTACAGCTTGTCCCAGGTACTTTTATTTATAGTAATGTTATAGTGTAGCTCTCTGTAACATTAGTATATGTTTCTT